AAAGTAATTGCTCTGACATTTCGTTATTTAGTCATCGGTGGATGCTGATGCCCACTGATGAGTAAGACGGGCCAGAACTTTTTGACACCTTTCTAAAGTAAATTCAGTGTGACACAGCCAGGTGGAGCCATCCTGCCAGACTGATGTCAAGAAGTTATGTTTCTAAATTAGAAGAACAGCCTGGTATTTACAAAAGTATTTACATCTTTTTGAATTTTTTTTTTCTTTTGTCAAATACAAACTTGAGTGCGTTTTGTAAAGACGTTATTTAATAAGGCAATAGAAAGGTGGCTAAGCTGAATGCAGCAGCAGCTTTTCTTTGTAAAAAATGTTGAAAACCAATTATCTTTATTTCCATTTAGCAATTATGAAATACTTTTTTGTTGACCTGTACCACCAATAAGCTACACTTTCCTAAAAAACCCCCAAAACAAACAATTTCTCTAATTTATGGTAAAATACCAACAGCTGTGGTTGCTGGATTTTTTTAATTTATTTTTTCGTATACAATGTGTAAAACAGTCCAAAGAATTTCAAGGCGCCGTTTTGGTACTTTTGGTTCAGTAATAATGTGGCAGAGTGTAGGGGAAAGTTTTTATTGCTCCACCTGTTTTGCCGGGCTCACTGTGCGTCCGAATCATCATGGAAACGAGCAGAAGGCTGTTGGAAGACATCACAACCGGCCCGCGTTGTTCTCATCCCCATTATTTCTGCGGCCGTGTCCTGGCGGCTTGTCGCCGTGTCGAACAAAACCCAGAGACGGCTTCGTCACCTCGCAGGCGCCCGGAGCTTGGTCTAGTTGAACTTTGACCTCGCAGAGTTTGCAACAAACCGAGGCCTTCAGTCGAACGTGAAGCGGGAAGAATTTGTCATCTATGTTCTACTTACCTTTTAGCTCACGCCAGTCAAAGGCAGCAAACATGTCTGTTTTCTGACTCCATTGCAGGTCATCTGGGTAAACACTAAATTGGCTGATCAATCAGTCACTAATTGATTGGAGAAACATAGACAATCGCTCGGCGGTTTCGTGTCTGACATCCCTTCAGGGATTCAAGGTTTTTTTTTTTAAACGTAGGACTTCCTGTTTTACTGGCTTTGTTCTGTTTGTGCTTGAAGAGGCAGACGCACTGCTCACGTCTTCGCTCCTATTCGTTTAGAGCTTTTCATGATTTGCTTCATTTGGTTTCATTTTCAGTATGGACTGATCACTTCAGCCCTAATGGGCCTCAAAGACGAGATCCAGGTGTGCAAGTTTTCAAAGTTATTCCACATCCACAGGGGTCAAAGCCAGACAGACTTTAATACATTGATACACAAGTGAAAAACTGTTTGATGCTGTTTATCTGTCATAATTGTGGCTGGATATTTGACTCGTTTTTGGTGGGGGAATCATTAGAGTTCCTGTAAATGAGTTGGTTTCCTGTCAGGGTTCTGAATGATCTGGATCGAAAGGTGTACATTCATGCGAACCGCGCGACGAACTTCCTGTGTGTCATAAAGTTTTCATTTGATCAAATGATCAATAAGGCTAAACGCCTCATTCTAGTTTTCAATAACGACCCATTTCAAACGTAGCATTAAATAAACTGGCTGCTATGGAGACGGTGAACTTAGTGCATTCGTTTTTTTTACTTCCCTTCATCCTCCTGCTAAACTCTCATCGTCATGTGATCTCAGGAAACAGGAAGTTGTGGATTCACTAACGCTGCAATCAATTTAAAAACACGCGGTATGCGTTCAAATCAGATCAAGTTACATTTACTTCCTATGTCTTATTAATCTGGTGAGAAAATAAAAATGATTTAATCACAGATCTGAGGCTTTTTCTAGAGTTTGAGGGTCCAGTTATGGCACATCCGATACGAAGCCACTGCAGAGGTTCTCACAGATCTGCAGGTAAATACAATCCCGTTGGGCGTCGGGTGCGTTAATATTCCCCGCTGCCTTGTTTGGCTCTTTAGTGGTGCCTAAACACTCAGCAGAGTGCAAATTAGTAAGCAGAGGTTCATTAGAATAACTCCTACCCTAAGTGCGAAATCCAACTCTCCACCCCATGTTGTGTCACACCTCACTCCCTCTGCAACACTTTTAAATGTTCTGGCTTCCTCTCCCTCACTTCAGCAAAATTGCACAACGTATTACGAGGAGAGACTCTCCGGAGCCGGCCTGGAAGCTCGGAAGAAGAGCTTCAATGTTTCTGTTTTAGCTCCACTTAACTACAGCTACGAGAGAAGCTCTGCATGTAATCCACCTGCAGCTGTCAAAGGGTGTGGGGGGGGAATACCGTGCAGCAACTTGCGAAAAATTAAAGACCCCCGCGAATGGGAAATTACTTTTTATTTCATGGTAAGCAGCAGCTCCGAGTGAGGGATGGAGGGGGGAGATGTGGGCTGAGGGCGCACTTTATGGAAACTGAAGTAGGTGACAGTTCAAGCCAGGAGCTGGGAAAAAAGCAGAAACCTGACAAAAGTGGTTGAGAGAAAGAGAGAGAGAGAGAGAGAGAGAGAGAGAGGTGATGATGCAGAGCGACTGCTTTTCAGCAAATCTTGGAGCTAAAACATTATGGTTCCTTCGTCTACAGCTTGTTTATCTTCATACTTTTATCATTTCTGAATTAGAAGCGTGCGTGTCAAATAAAAGCAACCCCTGCATTAATTTGTCTTCATATATATATAAATATGAAGAATTGTTTCGAGTGTAAACTCACGACAGCAGACACAATCTTAAATGCTGGTGTTGCCACCCAAGACTGAAGACAGCGATAATAAACGGGAAGCAGCTCCCGTTGTGTCTCTGGTTAAATGAATCCAGAGGGAATCTGAAATTCACTTGAATGTAAGCTGTGCAGAAATGAACTCGCAGCCTTTTGTTTTCGATGCAAACATCCCATCAAGACTGCAGAGTTTAAAACTGCTTTGTGTTTTTTACAGTCTGGACTGAATATTGTTTAGCTTGAAGATCCATACACCGACGCCTCTTCGCCTCTCTGAGGATGTTTTTTTTTTTTTTTTTTTAAATTACTTTTAAAGATCTGAGTTAGGCTATAAAGCTTAGCATTGATGGGCAAACACAGCCCGTTATTGCCTGGGCAACTCGGCTTGTTCTGCAGCGTGATAAGAAACGTTAGGCGGAGGAGGAAAGTGTCGAGGAGGCAAAGGTCGGTGATGCCCTGCCAGCTTCCGCCGCATATAGACGGGGGGGGAAGAGGGAGCCTAAATTCAAGTCGACTCTTCTGTTTCCGTGTTTGACTCCGTCTGTAGCAATAATTGGAGAAACAAGCCCTCTATGAACCCTTTTCCCCCCATCGACAATCTGCACAAAGATCCCCCAGAAGCAGCGCGCCCCTCCCTCCGCCGGCTCATTGTGCATTCCAAGGGATTGTTGCTCATGAATTTTTATGAAGTCCTCTCAAGCAGTGTGCAAAGTTCAGCCTTGAATTAGACAATGGTGTTTTCCACTAATCTTCTTATTAGAGGGGAGAATAAACTGAGCGGCGTCGTTATCGAAAGACGGGAATTGTAACCTTTAAAACGCGGTGGGCTCTGGAAAAGCGACAGTTCTCCACAACGTCGGACAAAGAGTCGACACGGAGCTCGTTTCGGATGGGTTCGGTTTTGTCCAAAGCCTTTGTGACCCGTTTGACTGAGCATCTGCAACACGCTGTATTTTATAATAAATGTTACGTCCGTGACTTGTTGCTTTCACTCACAATCACTTGAGAGTGAATGCAGTCTTTTTCCTGTAGGGATACGGACTGGAAAAAGACGTAGTCCTTTGTAAGTTTTTTTTTTTTTTTGACCAAAGAAATCTGCAAAAGTTGTGTGAGATCCTTGGTAGCATTTTAAGGAGCCATGAGCTTCTTTTGGGACATGAAGCTGAGAAGAAAATGTCTGCTGAAAAAAGTTGTTTTGGGTCGTTTTAGTTCTGACATAGCCCAGTAAAAATACAGTTCAGACGGTCTGGATCCTCAGTTATTGGAAAACGATTCCGTCCTGGATTTGGACGCTGCTGAAGTTTTACATTTCACAGAAAAAGATGAGCGTTAATGTTCAATCAAAACTTGGAAGCGTGGCCGACACGGACTGAACGGCTTCGTTCACTTCCACCGCTGCCATCTTCTGAAACCAGAGGCAAACTACAACTCTAAGGCAGCGGAGAAAATCAACGTCATTGTTCACAACTTCTCTGTCTGCCCACTGATTGGCCCGGTAGAAAATCTACCTGAGAGAATCCGAATCTACCGGAAAGGCAATGGCAAAGCAGTTCTGTGTAACCAGAAATAGACTCTGGTGGATCCCCAAAAAAATATTTGTGAAATCTGAGAATTACTGCTGAAGCTCTGCATTCCTATTTCTCCTTCACCGTCTCCCGCTGAGTTCAGTAAAAAAAAAAAAAAAAAAATCCAATCCGAGATGTTGAATATATTTCTGCATCTTGTTGTCTTTGCTCTCTCCCGAACGTATGGGCGCATTCGAACACTGCGTGGACCCATTAATATGCATCAATCTATTAATGTCTGCATTCCACAAGCCATGATGCAGCTTTGTTCTCCTTAATCGACATAATTCGGACCACACTAGCATATGAAATGAACATGGCGCTTTGAATCGGCAAAGAGCTTGTAACGTAATAAGCGGTCTCTTCTAAATGAAGCCTTGACTCCATTTAAAAGAGGGCAGAAAATATGTGTGCACTCTTGCTTAAGGCTTTCATCTTGCATATAAATCATTCCAGCTCAAAGTGGGTGTTTGAGCGGCACAGATTTCAGGTCTTGGGGCGCAACGCTGCATCACCGGCCAAGTCTCCATTAATGACAGAGCTGTGCCTTGACAGCATGATGTAAATTAAGCCAATTCTTAATATTCTGAGAGCTGATAAATGTTGGCATGAAGGCTTCTCTGGCTCGTTTTGGAAGCCTTATATGTGACGCCATGTTTTTTTATTATGATGATTATTATTATTTTATCTCTCTCCTACCCTTTCTGTTCTGTTCTGTCCAGATCCCACGGCAGCTGAACCCCCTGGCTCTGTACAGGTGTGAGCAGTCGGTGCTGGATCACCGCCATGCCCACCTGTCGCTGCGCCACAACGTGGGCACGGAGCCCTGGGCCCGGGCGCCGGGAGGTCCGGGGCCGGCCCCGTACCACCCGGGCCCGATGGGCGCCCTCCCCTCCGAGCTGGCGCCGCCTCGCCCCCGGACTCGCTCCCACTGCCGGTGAGCTGCGCGCACCGACAGGCCCCTGAACTCCCCGTACTCGTGCAAGACGGTGTCAGCGAACTGCTCAGAGGAAATAAAAAAAAAAAAAAAGAAAAGGTTGCGTAGGAGGAAACTGGGACTGCTAATGGAGCAAAGGAGACAGGTCCTCTACCGCGGAGCATCCAGGATCCAGGGTAAATGAGAACGAAAGGGTTTTTTTTCTTCTTTTTTTTTTTTTGTCCCCAGCAGGAATGTAAAGGGGGTGCAGCAGTATCGATCGGCGAGAGTCTGACCTCCACGGCCCCACATGTCCTCAATTAAGCGAAGGAGGCTAACGAGTAGCACGACTCCCCGCGTGTCCTTCGCCCCCGGATGGCATTTTTAATGATTTGCTAATCTTATTAAACACATTTCCTCGACTTCTCGCGGTCTGGGAGCCTCTGTGCTCTGAGAGTAATCAAGTGATTAACGCTATAAGTGAAGATGAGTCGCAGAACAAATGAAAGAGTGTCCAAACAAAGTTTTTCCTGCTCTCTCTGTCTCTCTCTCTCTCTCTGCGACTGACTGACGGTGTTTTCCCTTTAGTTTAAGGCAAAGAAATCAACAAAAACAAGTCTGAATATAGCAGACAGTAAGTGCCATCTAAATTGTACAGCCTCCACTGATTTGTTGGCACTAAGTCTAATTTTTATGGTGACTTATGATGTGTGATGTTGATCCCGCTCACATTAGTTTATCACAGCGGAGAGAAACTACCCACCGGGAAGCGACACTGCAGCACTCAGATATTTACTTTTCATCCCTCATTGGAGTCACTCTCGTGGTTAACGGTTTCTGATTTCATAACGCGTTATTAAACCAATTATCTGACTGTGCGCTCATAAAGCTACGTGTGTGCTTTCTTCTTCTTCTTTTTTTCTTTCTTTCCCCCTCCCTTACAAGATGTTGCAATGTAATATGTGGTAAATAAAACTGTGGTAAATGATCGGTAACAGTGTCGTTCATCAAGATCGGTGGCTTCGACCCAAACAACTGTCTGCTGCATTTAGACGGCTGCGGAGGCGGACGACACAAAAGGAGCGTCGCGCCGGAGGCGAGGCTGTCGAACAACAAAATGTCTCGTTTTTAATGCTTTAGTAACTGGACTCCCTCGACCCCCAAATGGTAACTCTTTCTTGCTTTTCTTCTCCTGTGACTGTGTGACCGTTTTCTGATGTAATAAAGTAAACTGGGACTCTCCGAGCTTCAAGGCTTTTCTGTCGCAGTACGACGCTTTTGAGCGGTTTTGTCACCTTACGACCACTGATGTCTTGATTAGAGTTTTATGATAAACTCTGGTTTTTTTGTTTGTTTTTTTTTTTTACAAATGAAACTGTGGCATGGATTTGTTCTCAACGCTCACGTTTTCTTGTCTCTCATTTAGCTCCATACGTCTTCCCGTCAACTCCATCCACGTTCTTGAAATAGGATCCCCACAGCATGACACTGCCACCACCATGTTTCACATTGTGGCTAATGTGCTAACGCGCAAAGTCGTACATGTTAGTTTTGTCTCCCATCCGTCTTGTGGCAAACGTTAAACTGGGTATTTCCTGGTCTTCTTCCATTCATGTCTTAATACTTTCATTCGTTTTTAGAGCTACGATATGTAACTTTTACAAGAGACATGATGTTTGCACATTTGTTAAAACTGTCAGTGAAATATGCGGCAGACATTTGCAGGAATGCTCCTCTCCTGGTGGAAAACAACCAATCAAGAGTCAGGAAGAGGCTCTTAGCGCTGCCAATCACACTTGTGTAGGCACTGTGAAAGAAACAACGTAATGTTACAAGGTAAGAAGGAAGAGACAACACCAGATGGATGCGTTTTAGTTAGGTGACTTCTTAAGATGGTTGACTACTGTTAGAGATATTATTTAGCGCTAATAGAAGCCACATTTTCACATTTCTTTGGAAAAGCGTTTGGAAACAATGTATTGAATTCCTTCCTCTAAACATATATGCACAAAAAAACTAATTTGGCAGTGCAGCTGTCACCTGAAATCCCATCAAATTCATGATTGCAACAAAACAAGGAGAGGCTCAAGGACGGAGAACATTCTTGCCGTAGCGGCTCCACGCTCTTCACATTTTCACTCTACGCTATGCGAAAATGACAGAAGTTTAATTGTTACATAGATGTGATCTTTGTCAACCCACACAAGAGTACATAGCCGACTGTTGAGTTCAATTACATCTCCATCTGTTGTTGGATGTGTTGCTTCAGGTAAGTTGTGGTTTTGCTGGACCTGAACGAATTAATCCAGAGGAAAGACAAGTCCCTGTTTTCATGTTTGTTTGCTGCTGCTGTTTGTTTTTCATAATCTGCCATATGTAATGTTGTTATAGAGTAAGTGAGCATGGAGCCAGAACATCCGGGGTGTAGAATTGTCACGTATATAAATAGGGAAGTGTGTGAGCGACACTTTGTAAAATAATCAAACAAAACGAACAGAAGCAACAACACGGGACGGCTTGCTGTGTGGAAGGCAGCAAAAGCGGTTTGATGTGCCAGGGACGGCCGCGGCTGTCATCAGGGCCGCCAGTACAGCCTGCTTGAAAATAATTTCCTTCTTTTGCTGCAATAGCACAATCTGACACAGCTTTTTGTTTTTAAGTCCAATCTCGAATGTCAAAATGTTGAGAAATTATTCTGTAAACACAACTTAGCAGTGCCACAATTGTTGGCATTCCTGTGATTTACTTTATGTCAAATGTAACAGATACGTTTACGTTTCAGATGCTTCGGTTGCACCAAATAGCTGAACACTTTTAGTCAGAAATCCGTCACTTCCGGTTTTACTGGCCCCATTTCACTTACTTGTTATGCAAAATGGGGAAGGGAGGAAAAAATGGCACGAAAAGAAGCGAGGTGATCAAAATGCGACAGCGGTTGGATTTGTGTGTTATTTTATGACTGTTATACAAAATAAATAACTTTTGGAAACTTTTGACACGCTTCCCAATGAGGTCAAGAAACGCTTCGGGCAGATTAACAGGTCATTTGAAACAAGAGGGACAGGTAGGAGTCATCGTCCCAAACGTTGGCGAGCAAAAGCAGATAGACAAACTTGGATTTATTTTTTTTTTTCCTTTTACTTGTTGCGTTCGCTTACAAAGCACATTTTCAATTGCAATTATTTTTTTTTTTTTTTACAAACATAACAGCTGAAGGTTGTGTCACAGATAACCTGAGACCTCTGTGAAGATTCGTCACTTTCACCTTCCTCCACAGTCACAGTCAGTCCCCGGTGTCGTCCCCTGTCTGAGAGAAACGGAGCAAAACATTCCACCTCATTCTGAGGAAGTGGCTTCCTTTGTACTTCTGCTTTTCAAATATGTTGAAACTGGCTCAATATGCCAGGGAACCCAGTGGTGCATTTAAAGCAAGCCATATAAAATGTGTAATTCTTGATCACTTCCTGCACAACATCTTCCAACCTTTAGACTATTTCACCCAATGGGCAAGAATAGTTTTGACTCATTGTTTTGTGACGTAAATTAAAATGACTTGTATCACTAATGTGCTACTCTAGCGAAAATAAACAAATAAATAAATATCATCATGAAATACTGGGAACATTTTAGCAGTGCCGTAAGCTTAATCCGAGTTTAATTCTTCTATAATTTACTTCCGCAGAGATTCAGCGTCTTATAATCCTAAAGAAGAGAGTCTCAATCAGCCATTTAACAGAGACTTTGGAGGTGAGAAAACTTCGTATTCAGTTAGAAAAGACATCCCATCTTACAAAAAAAAAAAAGAAAGAAAATTGGTGCATCTGCTATTATAAATGCCTCCAGCCAATAGAAGCTCTTAGTCTCTGCAAGGTTGGAGCAAAGAGAGTCCAGTTTTACAGTTTTTGGTGAAATCATCTTGGGCTTTATGTAAGAAAGAAACAAAGAAGTGAACAAGGAAAGCGAACAGAAAAGAAAAGTACTATAATTACATAATTGGCACCAATAATTAAATAATATTACTTAAGCAATCATGTGGGTCTTCATCGCCCCTGGATAAATGTACTGGAATTAAAGGTTGAGTGGTTCTGAGAATGTTCTCTGCAGCTGCAGCAGCAGATTGTTTGAGGTGAAAAGTTGTTTTTCCGCCGCTTTACCAGGAGAGTCAGCAGCCGCGGCCGGCACTGCGTTACATCACGCCGGACGCCACAGCATCACTCACTGCTCTTTGTTCCTCCCTCATTCATCTGCTGCTGCTAGTCTGGGGCTTAAACTGTCAGCGTCTTTCCTCTTCACCAGGTTCTGGCCTGGTGAAGCATTCGTCTTTTGGACGCTCCTCCTTTGTACTTTCCGCTGACTTGACCTCTTCATTGATCGGGCCTTTACGTTTCCTCTCTTAATTAGCTCATTTTGAGGGGATGAGCCCCGCAGGAAGGATAAGCTTCTTTCGTGTGCTTTTGTCTGAAATCAAGAATGCAAAACCCACGAGTTTTAACTCTGACGCGTCACAAAACAAAAACAAACAAAAAATAAAACGCAAAGAAAAAAAACACGCAACAATAAGAATTAGGATCTGATTTTTCCAGATGGTGGTTTTGCTCATTTCTGAACGACTTGTCTTGGTTTGATGATCAATGTTCACGCGATCAGAGAATTATGCTAAAACATCTGCAACCATAAAACATAATGAACAATAACAAAGTTGTACTAGTTAATTTGGAATTTGAGGTGGAAGTAACATCAATATTTTTATTTTTATGATTTTTGTTCTTTTTTTGCAACTATAAATCTAAAAAGTGTAAAGGGCATTTACTCTGATACCCCTAAATCAAATATTTCTGGGTACATGCACAGTATTTGCAGAAAAAATAATATGTGGAGATGTTTCAAGCAGGATCGGGTTATAAAACAATATGCAAAGATCTCACAAAACTTTGTTCAGTTCATCCTCTAAAGACGCCTCAAGGCTTACGCGAACTCAGCAGCAGGGATATTTTCAGGTTGGAAAATGTGTCAACAGACCTGGAATTAGTTGCACACTCAGGTGTGTAAATCTAATATTCATGGTGAGAGTGGCAAACATTGCAGAGAGGCATCGATATCTGTATCGATCCCCACATTTAGAAGAAATTCTGCATCCAGCATTAGTGACAATAACAGCAGACGTCAGGCTTTATTGCTCCCTTTACATCATATTAAGAATTCCTAATCGCACTTTTCGGACCATTTTTTTACATGTTTGACAAAAGTAATCAATCTATTGTTTACTTTTACTTTCTTTATTGGCTGTTCTACTCCTAATTGAGCAAACTGAAGTTGTTATCACGTGTTTGGCCAAGCTAGTGCAGAATTATCGCATACATGTGCATTTCAGTACATTTTGTGTCTGCGTTGAAAAGGGCGAAACTTTGTAAGTCAATTCAGCTCTGTCTTTATATAGGATCTATTGGCTGATGCACAATCTCAGATATCTGTATCTGAAGTTAAAAAAAAAAAAGAAACAGAAAAGTGGACTGCTGTATACAATCTGTTGTAAACCATGTGGGGGGGAAACCGCAAACACGCAGAAGAAGGTTCTCTGATTCCAAAACTGAACCTTTTGGCCTAAACCTATAATGCAATGCGTGGAGGCGGGTAGAGGGGGGGAATCTATCAGCAGGGGTCAAACTGGTCTGAGTTGATGGGAAGATGGATGGGTGCATCCGCCGATGCAGTTCTCATGCATTATTCAGAGCGGGCCATGCCTAAAAGTCTTATATAAGTCCCAGTCACATGAAGCAGCGCTCGGCTCTCCTGTGTGAAGTTTTCCTCCATGTGAGGCGTTTCAGGAGTCCCACTTTAAAAAAGAAAAATCGGCCGCACGCGAGACAAATCCGCTAATGACAACGTGTTCTGACACATGACAGGTTCACGCTGCAGGATTTACTGCGCACAGCAAACAGTTAAACGACGCTGATAGATGGTGCAGAGCGCTCACCTCGAGTGCTCAGAAAGGCATTCAGGGGACTCAGAACAACACGGTGACAGGAAAGGGTCCAGTGGAGACGATTTTGCATTTGGTTTTACTCTAAAAGGCGGATGATTCATGGCTATTTTTTTCTTTTTTGTTCTTATTTTCTTTTCAATTAATGCCTTCTCCTGAAAGCGCTCCTTTTCCTTTCAAATCTACCAGCAAACTGGGAAAACGATCACCCACGTTTTATTTTCACAATCCAGCAAGTGACTCACACAAACTCAAGTACAGC